CTCCGAAAGGCCGGGAGTGAGGGGGCCTATCTCACCTCCGGGGGCAAGATGTTCCAAAGGGCGGGGGGTACAGCAGAGAAGGACCACCTTCTGGACCCCGCTAGTCGGAGTTCTTTTGCCGAGGGGGGCTGGAGCATGCCCCCTCTGTGAGATCGGGTGGGACGGGTTGGAATCGTGGGGGCGAGGCGGTCCCTCAGGTAGCCTGGCCCCATGCCATGTAGGGCTTTAAAGGTGATAACCAACTTTTCATTAATGATCTAGGGCACTGTCCTAAAGAGTATCTATGAACCAGGTTTACAAGAAGGCTTTTCTAATCTTACCATCTAGCACTTTCGGTGTTCCTCCATTCTCCTTGCCTCATTCCTCCAAAATAGTAGTTCAAATACCTTTACTGACTTCAATAATAGCCTTTTCTAAATAAGAATCATTCGGCCCTAGTTGTTTGGAGGATTTATATGCCCTTTTTGCCCTTGTCTACATCGGTGGGATTTTCTGTCCAAAGTGGGCCTACGACATTTTTGTAGACTTTTGCCAGATGATCTGGACCTTATGATTATATTAACTATATGACTTCATTGGGTAGAAAGACCATTTCTCACCAACCTTCATTGGGTTCTGAGCCACGATTTCTATCTCAAGATGTGAATTTCAGTTTTAAAAGCCCTACACCATTTAGCCGTAAAATAATTCTAGGATCACTTCTTAACACACAAACTTGCCTAGAAATTAGGATCGTCTTCAGAAGTCCTTCCCTGAATTCCTATAGTTTCTCTTCAGCTGTATAATATTAATTTGGGTGGTATTGTAGCAAATCAAAATGTTATTAATTGCTTTGGAAGGTGTGATTTGAAAAAAAAAGCAGCATTTAATGGTTTGATATAATTTAAACTGTACTTTCAATCATGTAACTACAAAATGCAATAAAAAATCTTTACCTGAATTTGTGGGGAATTGGGTTGCACAAAGCCTGCAGCGTTGTATGTATAAATCATAAAATCGTTCGGCAAAAAGGATCTGCGAAAAAAACAGTGAAATAGCATTCGAGTAACTGTGTGTGAGTTGGGTGCCCATATACATTTGCTAAATAAATAAATACAGTAATTGCACTGTAGCAAGAACAGGAACATGGTGCTGGTGGGCCACAATATGCCCCCATTTACCTTCAATAGGGCCCACTGGGCTCCCAGTCCCATTCATATGTATATGTTTTCAAGGGTTCATTTACTTTTGAAACTGAGTTTTACTTGCTACAGAGCAAATGCCCAGTAGCATTCTATTTATTTCCAAAAATGCCCTTCAGCTCCGCCATCACAGACAGCATAGTTTGCCTTGTAGGAAATGGCATTTTGTAATTCTGTGTTAGATCTCTGATGTCAGTCAAGTTGTGAGCATGGCCACCAAATCCTTTTAAAATTTCAAACCAAGCCTGCCCCAAACTCAAAAGGTTGCCTTCACCTTCCCTAGAGAAGGACCTCATTGGAAAGACAAGTTGTGAAGTTCCATGAAGACACGTCGCCTTTGAACGATCAGTTGGTGGTCTGAGCACTAAATATCTGAAATGCTGTGATTGACCTATATAGGGAGTCCCGCCAACTAGCAAAATATCCTGCATAATACAGTGAAGTATATATAGACTTTTCTAGTGCATATTTCAGCCAGAGAGCACCAGATCATATCAAATCAGAGGTCAAAGAAGTACAGTGATAGTTCTGAAAAATAAAGGGACAGAATCTATTCTAAAAACTCCTTCTCATTTCCCTTGTTTTACTCGTGGCCAGCTTCAGTTTCTGCAAAGGACAATCTACCTCCATATTTTCTTCCTTCATATTCCCTCCACTACTCCTTGCATTTCCATTGTTATTCCAACGCATCCACAGTATGACCAGATCTTTCCCCCAGCATGAAGAGATCAAGTGTCTCAGATGGCCCTCATCTAAGATGGAGGACGCCTGAAGACTTCGATTAAGTGCCAGGTTCTGTGAATCACTGGAGCCACTGAGAGTGTCTAGCACTCTCCTTAAACATTGTTAATTGCCCAATCTCTTGACCACTAAATCTCATCAGACTGTTCCCTCTGTCATTGTCACAAGGATTCCCTCTCCTGTGTTTGCATTGCGCTATTGATTGACCTGGCTTACCTGGCTACAAGAAATGTATAAAAACAGAGTCACCCTCTGGGGGAGATGGGCAGCATATAAATTTAATAATAAATAAAATAAAAACAGACCTGCATCATAAAGATGTAGGGAGAAGGAGATAGCAAGGTGAAGAGGGAGAAATACCTCTGCTAGGCTTCTCCCAATGCCAGAATTTAAAATTTATTTATTTATCAACTTGGACGCTGCCCAAATCGACTCTGGGAGGCTCACAGGATAAAAACAAAATAACAAATATAAATAATTCAAAAATTAGAACATAAAATATTAAACAAGATGGCAAATCCAATCAGGAAAAGAAAAATACATCCTACATTCAGCAGGAGGCTCTAACAACTCTAGCCCAGAGCCTGCAGGAAGAACCGGGTCTTTAAGGCCCTCTGGAATGCCTAACCTTTTCTGTAAATTCCCTTAATGCAGGTTTTTCTTCTAAGGATCTTCTCAGAGCATCAGCAGGGGGAGCAAGCAATGTCACATCTGCCACAACGTAGTAGCACAAATCAGGGAAATGACATACTGTACGTCATTCAAGTTACGTCACTGACATGATTCACGCAATTCATGTCATTCACAGGATGACATGATGACCCGTGGCTTCTACTGACACCTCTCTCTCGGAGTCCTTATTCCACTGGAGGTAAGACATGTGGTTATTAAGGATACTAACTCTGGAACCCTGGTTTTGGATTTTATTTCCCCAAAAGGCACACCAGGCATTCTCTCTGTCAATTAAAAACCATTATATATATATCCCTTTTAGGAAGGTGCATTTCAAATCCTGTTAAACTGCTCTGGAAACTTTTGATTGTAAAGGGAGATTTGACATTTTCTTAATATGCAAATAAATCTATTCTTGAAAAAGGTAGGGTCTCCAAGAGAATTTTCACTGTATATATAGCTGTTTCTGTCCTTTTCATGAAGGCTTTCAGCCAACACAGGTAAAAGACCAAACAAGAAAACTCATTCAGCTAGTGAAGAATTTGACTCACACTCACAAAAAGCCAAGAATGGAAAACAGAAAGTAACTCACTGTTGTTTCAGGTGGACTGTGTACAACTTCTGATTTATGGTAAGATTGTAAACCTGAATGCTCTGGCCATTTAGAACAAAACAAAGCAAAAGGCAATTTATTAGAAGACAATTTTGAAACAGTTTTCCTGCTCATTAAATAAACCTCTCAATTGTATAGTGTTTCTGTACAATATTAGAATCCACATGCTATAAAAGTAACAATTCCGAAATAGACCCATTTTAAACAAGCATTTGGTGCTAGAAGTGAAGGCAGAAAAGGTTAAGGGAAAGGAAAAGATTTAGATGATCTGAAGAGAAACCAGAGTGTAAAAACAAAAAAAGATGAAGGTTGGCTGCTTCAATCCTGTTGGAATAAAGATCGTATAGGCGGTAATAAATAGGCAGAAGTAATGCTATGGTATAAAAGCTGACTTCTCCATTAGAAACAACAGAGACATCATGTAGCAAAATCCATGTAAGGGAAGACATATATCTTATGTATAGAAAGACATATGTACAGTATAGGAAAGATAAAATGCCTATTTAAGAAAAGCATATCTGTTTTAGGTCTAGATAAAGAGACATCTGTTTAACTATAAATAAGGAGGCATCTGCTTTCACTCTAAGATAAGGAAACATTTGTTTGTAATAAGCTAATGCATTCCATTCTATTGATAATGATTGGCTAAAATTATAAACCAAAAAATACCTATAAAAGGGAGATGGAAAGGCGGTCCATTTGCAGCCACCCATCCAAAGCAACTTGACAACTTTAGGTGAATAAACATAATATCTTTGATCTCCACTGATCATCTGGCGTGTTTTATTGAATGCCCAGCTTGGCACAAACCCAAAAAGAGCTTGAAGATGTGTGGACTTCAACTCCCAGAATTCCCCAGCCAGCCATGCTGGCTGGGGC